CCCCAAAACCCCAAAACCCCAAAACCCCGCAATTGCTAACAAAAATATAGAATTTGAGGGTAAGCATTATTATTTGATTGAATTTTGAGATAATTTTAAGAAGATTGCACTCATTCAAGGAATGTGTGAGCATGCTGATTTTCAGTTTTATGAGAAATTTTTCCCCAACCAATCATCCACATATTCTCCTCTTGTCCATCAATATAGGTCAACATGTCTGAATAGGTAGCAATTGCTGAGGCAGCTGTGTCGATAAAGCTAGAGTATTATCCTACGCAATCCCATGACATCATCTTCTCTGGATCGGTAAGTGTAGGGGTATCAAGAGCAAATTTATGCATCTCAATAGCAAAATACTTGTACTTGGGATCTTTGGTAATCGAGTAAAGATACAGAATCATATAAATATTTGAGGAGGTACCATGACATAGCCCCATTCCTTTGAGCAAAACTCCATAATTAAAGGTGTAATTAGCTGCTAAGTCTGCAGCAAGAAGATATTTTTGATCTCCAAAAATTTTATAAGCAAGAGCGAAAACAGGAGTTGCTGACGGAGCACCATGGCACCACTGAACTCTCTCCTCCATACCAGGCTGAATGTCTGCTACCTGTCCATCAGGTCTTTATCTTGCAATCATATAGTCAATTGTTAGCTTTATATGCTTTACCATCGTCTCATTTTGGAGTACCTCTGGTACTTGCATTAGCCTAAAAAGCATGCCAGCTGCTCCTCTTCCAAATCCAAGGCTTGTTCTAGTATCTGGGAATGGCTCTGGAAAAATAAGTGTACCATTTTCAAGTTTGTGATTATATCCATAGTCAAATAAATGACTGGCATATCTCATCACATTATCTCTGCTGAATAATGGTCTGTCATAGTAAGTTTCGAGGAAGTCTAAAGTATAGAAATAACCTGGGATACCATCATCATAATCAATTTTATTAGTCATTGGCTTAGAGAACACGACATCTACTTTATCTATAAATTATTGCGCTTTAGTTGAATCTCCTAGTGAATCGTAAATTACACTAGCAATAGCATATACTCCTGGATTTCCATTAATGAAAGAAATAAAATCATCATACTTATCGGATATGTCTTTTAAGGATCCCTCAATATATTGTCTTGCTAAATCTAGATAATACTTAGATTTAGCTGGATTTGTTTTCTTGGTATTTTGATAAAGTTTCCAAAAAGTTAATGCTCTGCTGGAAGAGCCAGTGAATACCCAATTGCAAGGAGTATCATCACCTAAATCACATTTGAAATCTGGAGGAGCGTTAATAAGAGTCATGTTAACATATTAATCAACTCTAAGACTCATTAAGTCTCTGTACTTCTAGTCGAAGTAAACTTACTCTTTGTCTTAGTAAGGCTTGATAACATTAAAGTGGTCATAGTACATTTTATCACCTGGAGGCTAGTCATAGCCAGTACAACCTCCGTTTTTAGCGTATTACAAAGATTAGACTGAAGAAACAGAGATAAATGCAGCGATAAATAGTGTCACTGAGCTTTTTAGCATTTTATAATAATTTTAATTTGGATCCAGTTTCCAATTTATATACAATTTTTTCTTTATGGGGTTTTGGGGTTTTGGGGTTTTGGGG